TGTTTATCAGAGCTGTGGATCAGCACTGAGAGCTTTTTCGATCTGATCTTTTGAGCTCTGTATCCAAACACAAAGAGCATTGAATCTATCACATTGGACTTCCCACTCCCATTTGGACCAATGATGCAGGAAAAGCGCTGAGAGAAAGGTAAGACAAGATAAAACATAAATACACATGTGAGTCAATTATATCAAAATATACTGCAACCATATCCAAATTCATTAAATGCCATAATATTTGAAGCTATATATTAACATTTCATCATAGCAAGATTTTGATAGTTAATGTATTGCAAGTAGGTGTAGTTAGGATTTATTTTAACCAACTAAAATTTGTAGATCAATGGGACAAGCAGAAAAAGGTGAAAAGATGATGTGCAAAGAAAATCATAATTTAAAAAAAATGTCAGCACACCACTAGATCACTCGTCCTTGCAGGATACACTCCCTAAATCAAAACTTGAGGAGTGTGACTTTTACACTTTGATTTTTAAAAACATATTCAATAGACATTATAATGTAGCATCAAAAATTTTGTATTTTGTGTGTCTCACACTACACAAGCCAACAGCTGCATAATAGGGAATTAAAGACAAAATAAAACTGACAAACTCTGCATACAATGGCAAATATGTGAGCTTGATACAACACATTAACAAAGTATTTCCCACTGTAGGCTTTACATTTGTAAACAGGTTTGGTCGTACCTTGTGAAAGGGCCCCAGAATCTGCTCGCCTGCATAAGACTTAAAGTTGCGATTAACTAAATGTGTTATCATGAGGCGAGGAGCGCCCGGTTCATTGGTCATTGCTGGGGGCGGGGGTGGAGGGATGCTGCCGAGAATCTCCTCCAAACTTCGACTATCAACCACCTCGGCAGCTTCACCGTGAGACGGATCTGTGGTGCACAAAAAGTACAACTTTTATTCCTCTGAGCGACTCGTTTCAGGTGGGGGCACAGTGGTGCATGGGGGAGGGGTAGAGAAGCAAAAACAAACAAACAAACAACGCACAGGCAGCAAGTTACGAGAGCAGTCAAACAACGACTCGAGAAAAAGCTGACAGGCGTTATTTTTCTTTGTTCTGAAAACAAAATCCAACCCCAAAACAGAACGAGCCTGTGGCTGCTTATGAACGAACCCACATTATTATACAAACGCTCTCCACGAGAAGCGTTGATACGACTGAGTAGATGCGCCACATTCATTCCGTAGATAATAAATAACTAAAGTGTACATTTCGATCACCAACGCCACATTTTCACTCGTGCCGAACTGCACCCAGAACACAGAAAGGGATAACCTTGTTTGGTGACAATAATATATAATGTAAAACCAACCGCTGCCATCACATCAAGCCACAACGACCTGTCCAAAACCTATTGTGCTCACATAAGCATAAACAAGCTAAGGGGTCGATGCTGGTAAATTAAATTCCTGCAGCCAAACACCCGGTGAAGCATTTCAACATATTCTAAAGAACACAAACATCACTGAATGTCAAGATGTATCTTAAGCTCCGCATAAAAATTATTCAATACCAAGTTATAAGAATGAAGTCTACCACCCTTGTGATCTACTACACTAAAACATTTCATCATCCGAAAAAATTACCTCGTTTGCTGAGAAGATCCGGTAAAGAAGTACCCTCGACGTTATCAAAATCATCTCAAAAATCATAACACACTTAGTGATGACTGGCGTTGTAGAAGTAAGTACATCAGCCATTCTAACTACGCGTTGAAATTTAGGTAAGAAAAAAAGCTTCACAGCTGTGCCAATTGGCCACTACCATTTCAGCAATACACGTAACGCCACTGAGTGAACACAACTTATTCAGATTCACAGACACTAAAACACCCTTTGTTACTTGCCAGTTGTCGGCGGTGCCTCCTCTTGGCCACTGGAGTTGGTTTCTTGAGGGGGTACATCCAGCTCGTCTTCGGAGTCATCCCGAGGCTGCGACCCTTTCCCTTTAGGCTTGGCGGAGGCGGTTGAACTCTTTGCAGTTTTAGATGGCATGATTTGAAATCTAAAGGGGTCAGTGGTAAAAAGGAATATCCATGAGTGGTTTTTGTGCCTGTCAATCTCCCAACTCCACTTTTAGTCGGTCACACGCAGCTACACTGCTGTCAGGCTTTAATCATCACCACAGTCAGAGCTCAATGCCGCCCATCTAACTGTTAGTCGGTCTATTTTTCGTACGATACAACAACAAAGTAACAAACTGGTTTATTGTGTACGAGTTTGTGGCCTAAACAAAACGAGCTGTTGTACAGCTCTCGGCCTGATAACGTTAGAGATGACAACCCGCGGGTGACGTTAGAGAATTTGACTCTATTCTAATACTAGAGCCCACTAACAGTAGAAATTAATGCCCCCCCCACCCCCCTCCTGTAACAGAATCGTTTAAGTAACCTGTATCTAAAGGGACTTTACTTGTGCTTAACAAAGATGGACAGGTAATGAGCCCTGCAATGTTAGAAAAACAGGAAAATAAGGTTAACGTAACAAGTGGGAAAACAAATTCACTTAATATGCAAATACCCTAAAAATCTTTCTCCACAGCTCTTAGGCTAACGTTAGCCTACGTTACATGGCCATTACTGAACAGACGCAGCTCTGGTGTATGTGGTCGAAGGCAATGGTACAACGTCCTAAATTGACCGAGGTCTCCAAGTGACACTAATATTAGCTTTCATCCCCTCAAACTTTAGGTTGGGGCGGAGGTGTAGACGGGACAGTCCAACTCGGTAGCTAATAGTAAATCATATTCATTGACCGAATGTTACTTAACGATTACGGTGGACTACGCTAATGGTAACGATATAATTACACGTATATTTACTACTTCGGTAATTTTGTAACGCGGACTTGTCCACCAGATTAAAAGAAAAACGCGTAGCGTTAAGGGTGCCACGTTACTGCGCTGTTATCACTTTACTAATATTAACATCAAGTCAGCCGCTGAAGCTGTCTAACATTAATGTTAACGAAGCATAACGAAGTTAGCTAAAGCTAATATAATGGGCAACTTAGATTGGCAAACGTAACGTACATCAGTCACATATCTGCAACGTTAACGCGAGAATGTAGCGTAACAGTTAGCGCTATCTGCTTTGAAAGAGGTAACTTTACCAAACTTCCTAACCAACAACATTAGCTAAAGCTATTTAGTTGACGTTAACCAGACAAAGGTAACGTTATTGAGGCTAAAAGATTAGCAGCCATTTGCAACATTAACATTAGCTTGGACAATCAGAGACTCTTCATTATTACCGTAAGGAGTGTGTAAATAATTCGAAAATGCTAAGTTTCTTTATAAAGGTAATATAAAGCAACTCACTATATTGCGAAGTATTTTTGACGGTGGTCAGCGACCAAAGTTAACGTGTTGTTAATGTTAACTCTGGTATGGAACTAACATTAAGCATTTCAGCAAATAGACGGAACCCAGTCATTACTCTCAACCAAAAAGCTTGTATATACCTTCCACAATACGCGCACGATCAAACAAGAGTCTTCCTTTGTGACCCAAATCACGAACTCGAAAAAAAACGTTCGTCAATCCAAACTTTGGCAGAGATAAACCATAGAATTTAGTCCCATGTCATTTCGAATAGCTGTCCTACTTGAACAATCTAACTTGTAAATGGCGCCTAAACTTTGCTGTCGAACCAAATTCGTTACAAACTGACGCAAGGCACCATGGAACGTTCAAAGAGCAAGGGGGGGGAAAAAAAACACGAAATTCAAAAAAGGGGACGAGGCCAACCCCGCCTCGCTCCAAACAAACGACAATCATATGACAGAAACAGTTAGACTAAAAACGCGACAATAACAGTATTCTCCTTCACAGTGTTATATATTGAATAAGTTTGTTGTCAGATTCAAAGCCTTATGTTGTTCCTACGTGTTCAAACGGTTACCTGTGGTTACAATAGGACGAAATCTCGCCCTGAGGAATAGTTTACATTTCAGGAAATATTATTCAACAATAAAGGTTTGCTTTTACGGAGTCCTACAATATGCATTTTTAACATATGTCAGTTCTTGCAAACAATTCGAAATTTCTGTTGTCAAAGAAGTGAGACTTGAACCTCTCGCGAGAACTCACTTTTTGAGCTGTTTATGACCCAGATTAAATGGGGGTTAGCCTTCATAACGTTAGCGATACATTCACACACGTAATAGGTAGTTTTGTTCTGTACTGTATTGACTAGTCATGTATCTTTTGCTGGAGTAAATTACGCACATTTCCCACAGTAAAGTCGGTAACGACATGATAATGTCTCTTCTAACCTGAAAACCAAGTTAACGTTAGCATTCAAGTCACAGGCACGAGCCAAGGACATTTGAGGATTCACGTTAGCAACAGTAGCAGGTACCGTAGCAACTGCAGACGCTTGATTCATTCAGCGTTACAGCTACCAGCGCATGCCATTAGCTGCCTGAAATAATATACAGGATACTGTTGGTAATTTGCGATTGTAGTCTTCTGTGTTGTTTCTTTTGCGTGTTTGTTTGGTATAAGCAGTTTTAACATGAGAATTACTGTAACAAACTAATAGTTTTTTGCTCGTTAAGGGAACAACAGAGCAAACCTCCACAATGAGACTGAAAACATCGCTGCTAAAGGAACCCAAACATATCCTTTTTATGTTGTTACCTCATATTTATTAGTCTATAACTTTTGGTATGGTTACTATTTAACTGGTTGCATCTTATCGCTTATATTAACCTAACGCATTACCTGTATTAAAATCTAGATATTCATTACAGAAAGTAACATGGCATTTCATATTTTCAGTTAAAATACATACTCTAATAACTCAAGTTCCTTAACAATAGATCACATAAGGAACTTGTGAGTTGTGTTGGCTGGACCACAGCAGATGAGCTGTACTCATGCAGTGATGACCACCAGATCCTCAAGTGGAACCTGCTGACAAGTGAGACCAGTCTGGTTGTCAGATTGCCTGAGAACATTTACCCCATTGATCTGCACTGGTTCCCCAAAACTGTTGGTGGCAAGAAGCAGACCCAGGCTGAGATTTTTGTCCTTACCAGCACGGATGGCAAGTCTTTTTAATCTATAAAATCTGCCCAGTGGTCTGTTGGGGTTTGTTTCTGAATTAACTTGTAGAATCAGTGTTTTTTTTGTTTTTGTTTTGTTTTTTAATGAATTGTTCATTCACTGAACAGCCACATGACAAGGATGAGTGATTGTTTTTAGTTATATCTAGCCAGGGAGATGAAAATTGTTAATACATTCTTTATGGTAAGGGAGATCATCTTGACTAGTTTAATAATTGAGCAGTAAAACTGATCTGGCTCTCAATGAGCAAGAGAAGCTTCTTGATTTCACCTAAGAAGAAGGATTTTAGTATCAGAGTAAACATGAGTTCATATCTAGTCTATTTTTCAGTAGACCTTCACTGTTGAAGTCAATAAAACTATACATGTAATGCTAAACTTCACAGCACAGTTTGTTTGACATGTATGTACACAGCCTCTTATGTCTCTTTTTGGTCTATACTACACATACACACATGGAATATGGATGTACTGTTATGACAGGCAATGTGTGGCCACAACACTAATGGCAGTGTAGGGTTGCATAAACACACCCACAAACTGAAGCAGCAATTTTCTCTGGCAGGCCAGAGAGAAAGTGAAAACTCTGTTACGATTCATTTTTGTAACTTTCTTCTCCTTCTTGCCATGATACAGTTAAACAGAGATCAGGTTTCATTGAAAACAAAAACATGGCAATTACACAGTTTTATTCTTTTTAATTATGGTGTGTACTGAAAGAGCTTGTCCTAAAATTTTAAATCTGGATTCTTTACAGGAGATCTGTGTGATATAGTTGAAAAGAAAGCAGTCCAACAGCCAGAGTTTTATTAGGTGGGAGGACTCTGTATTAACAGTGTAGCTTTTCCTAACCTTATTTGATTAGCCAGCCTTCCTTTCTTTTGCCAGCATATTAAATTAGTTTTGTGTGTGTGTGTAGAGCATATGCAGTTTGACCTTTTTCCAGTTACAAACATTGTGTGAAAAACAGATCTTTGTATAATATTTTTAGCAATATTTTTTGTCTTTGCTTTCAGAAATAAATATTAAACATATAATTAATAAGTACACTTCATTATTTTGGAATGTGTAATATTTCCCCATGGTTACTTAGATGTATCATTTGCCATTCAGCCAACAAGGACACTGTGTGTGGAATGAGGTAGACTTGGAGATTACCAAAATAAGCATGAAGGATATTACTGGGTCTTCTGGTTGGCACAGCAGTTCACCAGTCTCATTCTCTTTCATCTTGTGGAATTACAGTAAGGATAATCACCTTTATTGGCCAAGTATGTTACACACAAGGAATTTGTTTCCGGTACAGAACCGAGGCAGCCATCTGCGGCGCCAATTCAACTGATGGCTTTAACCATCGGGGGCAACTTGGGGGTTCAGTGTCTTGCCCAAGGACATTTTGACACGTGGACTGCAGGCACCAAGATTCGAACCTCCGGCTGGGAGACAACTGCTCTACCCACCGAACCACAGTCGACCCCGCAATGGGTGTCAACATCAATTTCACAGAAATGTGTCATCAGGAATTGCAAAACAATGGATTAATGGATTGTCATGATAAAAGCCTCCAGCCAGATAACAAGAAAACAAACAAGTTACATAAAAGCAGTGTACACAAAATGTTTGGTTACACAGATAAGGACTGGTGAAGTGAGTGCACATATAATAGAAATAAAATGAATTATTATTATTATATTTTTTTGTTTTTCCATTTGAAAGAGATTTCAGTACAACTATATGTGCCTGTTATACTCACTACCTGCTCAACCAGTAACAGCCACTTTTGTTGGGATGCCCAAATTTAGAACTGGGAGGGAGCAGCAGCATGCTGATTTGCAGTTTTAGGCCACCAGAAATTACATAAAACATTCAGAATTTTTTAAATGCACACTGCCACAAAGTATATGCTAGACTAGCATGTTCAATAACTCTCCATGCCTCATCACCCGTCATGTCTAGCAACTAGAAAATTGCCCTAATTCAACTAACAGACCCCTTTTAGTTTCTCTCATCTGCTTTATGCTACAAGTTTGTAATTTAGCTGGGAGGAGAAATATAGTTTTGTTGCTAATTGTGTTTTAGGGTATCAGTAATTGTTATGCTTTTATTTAAAGACTTGGATTATAAAGATTTTCAAGCTTAGTGAATATTTACTTCTCACTTGTGTTTTGTTTTGGCCATAAAAACTTGTTCAGTCCCTTTGCCTCACACAGCAGCCTGGTTCACTCACATTTATGAAACTATGGTCTCTGTATTCTGTATTTAAGATAACATCCTCATAGTAGCCAATGAATTATAAAAGGTGAATGTTTTTTTTTTTTTTATTAGAGACAGCAAATACCCAGATCAGTTGAGGCCTTTAGTGTGGAATTGCCATACAGTAAACTTCTTTTTGTCGCTTTCCAGGCAAGTTCCACCTGGCCTCCAAGATAGGGCGCATTGAGAAGAGTGTTGAAGCACACAAAGGAGCTGTTCTGGCAGGAAGATGGAACTATGATGGGACTGCTCTTATCACAGGTAAGATTTATGGGAACATACATACTTTTATTGCTGTTTAACAAATATTTAATCATTTAATAATAATTATTTTTGAGGTCCATTTCATCTCATTTCTGTAATTACTTAGCTGGAGAAGATGGGCAAATCAAGATCTGGTCAATAAATGGAATGCTACGCTCAACATTGGCTAACCAAGGTGAGGCAAAAGACACTTGTTTAACTTCACTGAATTTAAACTGCATATAATGCATATTGGGAGCTTGTGTGAAACTGACATAATCATACATGATCAGCAAACATTTTATATATAATCGCTGACCCAAAAATTTATAAAAACACAGGGCACATGTATTTGTTATGCATGCATCCTCTGCACTGTTTGATTGCAATAACGCCTACTGAGTCCCTGTTTTTTTCTGGTGTGTGTGCACTTTACACACTTTGCCAAATATGGATTCTTGGAGAAGGAAACAACACTGTATCATTTTGATATCTATGATGGAGAGTGGCTGGGTGTTATGACAGACCAATAGAATGGGATTGCATCTCATTTTCACACAAGTAGTGAGTTAGCGACTCGCTTGGTGTAATTATAGACAGAGTGTAACTGACAACCAGGGTGTGAATTACAGGAGTGGGGGTGGGTTTCACTCCCCAATGTCTTTGACCCTCCCGAAGAAGGTAGAAATAACAGTGGGAAGGCAGAACATTTACAACTTCTTTGTAAATGTCATTAATTAAAATGCATGCTCACATGTATGCCCCAAAGAACTGTTGTTTAATACAATCTCACACACCCCTAAAATGGATTGTACCATTTCCACTCCCTCAAAGCTCCACAGCTTGTAGTGAGTGACAGCAGTGCACAGATAGCAGCCTTCAGACAACCCTGTTAATCAGGACGTGCAGTGTATTTTTTATTTATCATCGACCACAAGCTGATTTCATGTGCTATTTTGTGTGTTAATTATTGTACAGTACATGTATTTGGTGTCAGATCAGTGGCCCCAAAAGAACACTGTAATTCTCACCCTGCTTTAAACTCTTACCAGCATTCAAACAGCTCATTGTTTTAGCCACCATATGTAGAATTTAATCATTTTTTCTTATCTGCTGTTGTGAGTAATCAGAGGATCCATCATAATAAAGTGACTTGTAACCAGCTGTAAATACTAAGCCTAACAGTAGTAATAACCCGAACCCCCATTGTGCACACACCTGTACATAATAAGGCTAAGCTGTATATACAAGTTGGCCATAGTTCATGTTCCCCCTCTAGATATAAATCTTGGCTCACATAATTTGAACGACAGTGTGAGAAAGAGCCGGTCTAATTTTTAAACTGAATTTAAAACATGTCATAGCAGTTGTCAACCAGCACCAGCAGCCATGTGGAGCCAGTTGCTGACCAACCAGCCTCAGTAGTAAACACAGCACACTGACACCAATTACACTCTCTGTCCCTCTCTGTCTCACACATGCACACACATAAAGTACCCATTGCTTTAGGGCCTCTGGCTCAACGTGTGCTTGTTGTGACAGAGAGAATAAGGGCAAGATAGCAGAGGTCTGATGAGGAAAACCAGACACACAGAACTTCACTTTCATTTGGGTAAATCTGGGAGCCTTCTCTGAGTGCTGTCACACACAAGTTCACCTCCTCATCTGGTTCCTGTTGGACACTGGACTCATACATTCTAGACTGACACTGCAAGTCACACGTGGTCCCAGATGTCAACTAAATTGCCACACCTAACATTTTGTTTTATTTCCTTCTTCAGACTGCTGAATGTTCTGCAAGATTGACTTTTGTGTTGACGCTGCCTTTTTACTCAAGCCAGATCATTTAAATTGATAGTCAAGGAGGAAATGTTTTTATTTTCTCACCTTGCCTGTGTGATTCTGTGAACATGTGTATGGTGTGTGTGTATGTGTTGGGCCTTCCTATGCTCAGTCAGAGGTGTAGTGCTATTTGATGAAACATACCGAATGTTCACCAAACGCCTCCTGCTTCATGTTGGTTTTCATGTCAGCCAGCAACAGCTGTGCACGGGCATCGCAACTGGTCAGTATGTGCCAAAGTTTGGCCATCCTGTGCCCTGCTTGTGTCAAATAGACCTACAGCTGCACTGTACACAGGTAAAACAGTCTTTAAATCCCAGCATCACTTAAATATAAAGTCTGTTTCTGCTGCTGATTGCCGCATTTGATGTTTGTCTCCACGGCCCCTCTTGGGGATCACACTCTAGTTTGTCAGTCAGGATGATCTGAGTTTCGTTCCGTCACTTGTTTTTTGTATATGGAGTCTGTAGTTGATGCTAAACTGTGTCGCTGTGAACCCTCCACATCGTCATGTGGTTGAACAAAGCACAAACACTCGCAGGTGCCAGTTGTGCATCAGAGCGTGCATAATTTGAGACAACGTTGTGAATCCATCACCACACCTTAAATTTTAATGTCACGACTAATGTCCATTTTACAGGGTATGCACTTTACTGATGATTGGATCTGCAAGCATTCACATTAATGCAACGTTTTGAATTTCAACCAGATTATGGTAGTAGGCCTATTCTTTTTTCCTCTCTTGGAAGAAAAAAAAAGTGGTGGGGTGTCATTCCTGTGCGTTCCAGCAGCATTACATCTCTGTGATCAGTACAACCAAATGCAGTTGACCTTCCAGTTGTGTGTGTGTTTTTCCTTTTTTAATTAAAAGCACCATAAAGTTTCAAAGATTTATGGGATTTAGTTTTATTAAAAGCCGTAAAAAGACTCCTAATGATACATGTTTTTTAAATCCATTATTCACATAACAGATGGCTTCCTTATTAATAAATTCATGGTGCTTTTTAAGTTATTAAACATTTTTTTGCAGTTACCGGATGGGAAAAAAGTTCAGTGCTGCATAAAAGTTGACTTCTGGGGGAAATGGATGGCACACTCCTCCTGAATGATTGGTGCTGTTGAAAACCTGGCCGTTGAACAGCAATTCAGCCCCAGCATGCAGAGACATTTTTTCTTAGCTGGCTGTTTGGACAATGGGCTGCTTGGTGGTCATCTTCTCAGTAGACCTACAAATTTGTAGAGCACCTGGATATGCATTGTAGCATTGCCACAGTTCCGTACCATTCTTCACATGGCACTCAGATCACTGTCGGTGTTGTTTTTCTTCAGACCCTGCAACTCCATACATGCATTGACACACAGTACAGGAGCAGGCTATGCTCATTGGGTGCTATGACCGATTTTAAGCGATAGAGCTCTAGGAAGAGGTTGGAAGGGAGTGAGTGAATGAGCAAGAGGGAGGGGAGAAGAACTTGTCTCAACCCCTCTTGTTGCCTTTGTCGGATTTAGATCAGTTGGCATTTGAGAGAAACCACATGCACCTGGAGTGGGGTTAAATGTCAGGCCCCCTCCCCTCCACACGCGCATAGCCACAACCCAACTCATACACACAATTTACTTCACACATGTGCATGCAAGCACATGTAAGCACACACATACTTGTGCTTATCCTGTAGAGGTTAGGTAGGTTTTCTCAGCTGGTGTGCCTGTAAGCTAAGTGCTGTTCCATGGGCTGAATGAGATGAGATCTCTGACAGAATCTGTTACTTTGTGAGAGGAGGAATTAACATTGCTGTATCTCAGAGCTGTTGTTTATGCCAAGTCCTAATTTGTTAAAGAGAAGGGGAGAAAAGTTGTATGCAATTATAATTCACATCTTTAGCATATCTCGAGAGTAATACAAGATTGTCATCTTCTGTGCTTGTGCAAATCTTCTAGGGTCTCCTGTTTATTCTGTGGCCTGGGGTCCAGACTCAGACAGAATCCTCTACACATCAGGAAAACAGCTGGTCATCAAGCCTCTGCAACCCAGTGCCAAAGTCACACAGGTAGACTGATTTTATGCATTCTTATGAGAGATCAAAATCTATCTATCAATTTCTACTAAAAATTCTGTTAAGTAAACCTTGTAATTAACCCTGTTAATGACTCAGAGGTTACAGTACACACACAAAGCATACATTTTAAAGGTCTTAAATACTGTTTCTGAATAAAACAAATTTATAGGTAAAATTTAAATGGAAAAACCAACATTTTCTAGCCTTAATTGATAAAGCCAGTCATTTTTTTTTTTATATTAATAGTATTTTCAGCAATCTCCATACAGAGACTGACAAAACCAACATTTACTAACGGTTAATGTCTGTCAGCTGGCAGTCCTGGATCAACTTGTTCATCTGTGTGATAGATGTCCATTGTTCTTCAAAAATGATTACAAACACATCAGGGAAACACACCGCTGCACTGGGTGACACAAAACCCCAGACCCCACTATGTTGCCCCAAAGGCTCCGAGCAGCCATAGTTCCCTGAAGTTAGCATGAGTCAGAGTCAAATGTGCATGTGTGAGATCTTGCACAAGCTCTTCTTTCTTTACATTTCACTAGCTCCTCATGCTCGGGTCTGGAGTTTGCTAATGAAGAAACATCACCCAGTGCAGCGGTGTGTTCACTCATGTGTTCTTAATAGTTGTGTTTTTTTCTTTTTACATCAACCGAGGTCTATGGGAGAGAGGAATAAGCTGATCCAGGACTGACACACCGGTGGACATTAACCTGAGCAGAGCCGATTCATTGGTGGTTGTAATCTCTATATGGAGAATGCTGAAAATACTGTTAATATAGAAACTGACCATTCTTATCGCTTAATTACTTGTTGTTCACAACACCCAGTCACTCTTTAAATAATGTCAGTGACCTTTACTGTTGGTTACATTGCCTATACTTTATACATTGTCATAATATCCTTAAGTTTTACAATGAAAATTAAAACTTTAAGGAAAAATATGTATTTTTTAAAAGCTTCAAGGTAATAAGACTCAGTCACTCAATATTGACACTGAGTTCTTTGTGAATTACTTTAATATATTATAGCTAACAATGACAAAGGAAATGCCCCTCTTTATAAAATCAGTGAGGGCACTTCTTTTTCCTTAAAATATCTACATACTGGATATGCAGTAAGTCAATGATTTCACTAGGTTTTTCAGGTTGTGTCCTTCTGTCACCAAAACCAATGCTCTTGACTTGCAGAACATGGGGCCTATAGGTCAACAAGCACTAAGAAGCCCTAATATACTGTAGGTGTGTCCTGGAGAATGTTTCAGTTTTTTTTTAACCACATGCACCTGGAGTGGGGTTAAATGTCAGGCCCCCTCCCCTCCACACGCGCATAGCCACAACCCAACTCATACACACAATTTACTTCACACATGTGCATGCAAGCACATGTAAGCACACACATACTTGTGCTTATCCTGTAGAGGTTAGGTAGGTTTTCTCAGCTGGTGTGCCTGTAAGCTAAGTGCTGTTCCATGGGCTGAATGAGATGAGATCTCTGACAGAATCTGTTACTTTGTGAGAGGAGGAATTAACATTGCTGTATCTCAGAGCTGTTGTTTATGCCAAGTCCTAATTTGTTAAAGAGAAGGGGAGAAAAGTTGTATGCAATTATAATTCACATCTTTAGCATATCTCGAGAGTAATACAAGATTGTCATCTTCTGTGCTTGTGCAAATCTTCTAGGGTCTCCTGTTTATTCTGTGGCCTGGGGTCCAGACTCAGACAGAATCCTCTACACATCAGGAAAACAGCTGGTCATCAAGCCTCTGCAACCCAGTGCCAAAGTCACACAGGTAGACTGATTTTATGCATTCTTATGAGAGATCAAAATCTATCTATCAATTTCTACTAAAAATTCTGTTAAGTAAACCTTGTAATTAACCCTGTTAATGACTCAGAGGTTACAGTACACACACAAAGCATACATTTTAAAGGTCTTAAATACTGTTTCTGAATAAAACAAATTTATAGGTAAAATTTAAATGGAAAAACCAACATTTTCTAGCCTTAATTGATAAAGCCAGTCATTTTTTTTTTATATTAATAGTATTTTCAGCAATCTCCATACAGAGACTGACAAAACCAACATTTACTAACGGTTAATGTCTGTCAGCTGGCAGTCCTGGATCAACTTGTTCATCTGTGTGATAGATGTCCATTGTTCTTCAAAAATGATTACAAACACATCAGGGAAACACACCGCTGCACTGGGTGACACAAAACCCCAGACCCCACTATGTTGCCCCAAAGGCTCCGAGCAGCCATAGTTCCCTGAAGTTAGCATGAGTCAGAGTCAAATGTGCATGTGTGAGATCTTGCACAAGCTCTTCTTTCTTTACATTTCACTAGCTCCTCATGCTCGGGTCTGGAGTTTGCTAATGAAGAAACATCACCCAGTGCAGCGGTGTGTTCACTCATGTGTTCTTAATAGTTGTGTTTTTTTCTTTTTACATCAACCGAGGTCTATGGTAGAGAGGAATAAGCTGATCCAGGACTGACACACCGGTGGACATTAACCTGAGCAGAGCCGATTCATTGGTGGTTGTAATCTCTATATGGAGAATGCTGAAAATACTGTTAATATAGAAACTGACCATTCTTATCGCTTAATTACTTGTTGTTCACAACACCCAGTCACTCTTTAAATAATGTCAGTGACCTTTACTGTTGGTTACATTGCCTATACTTTATACATTGTCATAATATCCTTAAGTTTTACAATGAAAATTAAAACTTTAAGGAAAAATATGTATTTTTTAAAAGCTTCAAGGTAATAAGACTCAGTCACTCAATATTGACACTGAGTTCTTTGTGAATTACTTTAATATATTATAGCTAACAATGACAAAGGAAATGCCCCTCTTTATAAAATCAGTGAGGGCACTTCTTTTTCCTTAAAATATCTACATACTGGATATGCAGTAAGTCAATGATTTCACTAGGTTTTTCAGGTTGTGTCCTTCTGTCACCAAAACCAATGCTCTTGACTTGCAGAACATGGGGCCTATAGGTCAACAAGCACTAAGAAGCCCTAATATACTGTAGGTGTGTCCTGGAGAATGTTTCAGTTTTTTTTTTCCATTGTTCAAAGTTAGTTAGGTGTTGTTGATCATGTGTGATGTGGCTTCTATTGTCATTTCTGATAAATTTTTTGGTAACGTTGTACCTTTCTCTGCTGGAGAATTTTCAAGGAGGACAGGCGCTGTTCCAGGGTTTTTGCTACACAGTGCAGACAGAAAATAACTTTCTTTACTGTTGTTGATATCTTTGTGTGGTACTTTTTATCTCATGTGGATTTGCTTATAATTTCAACACCCAAATGATCTCACAACACTGGGCCTTTTGCTTCTTTTCAGATCTTTGTAAATGAATGATTGATATGTACTGCTATATAAGGGCCAATTAAAAGGAAAAAATCAATAGATCCATGTATCTTTGAGTGCTTCTGCATTAAAGAAGGGTGCAGCACTGAAAACCTCACACAGCAGAGTATTTTTCTTGTTCATGTATACATTTGTTTATTGTTCTGTTTGAAGCTGAATAGTGCTTGGGCCCTTAGATAAACAGTGGAGGGTTTAATGTGCTCTCTCTCAACCCCTTGCTCTCTCTAAGCTATTACCATTATGTGAGCCAGCCAACCAAGTTTAAATAGGGGTTGGGCATTGCCTGGCATGTCTATTTCATATGAAAAGGGGTGTGACAAACAGCTACATATAAAGGACCCCCCCAAAAGGTCCTTTTTGATGGCTGCAGTCCCTTAAACAGACAAAGATACACATGACATATGTGCATGTATTTATGTGTTTCCCTTTGAAACTAGAGTGAGAAAGTATGGTTCAAATAATATAAAATGGAATCTAGCCACAAAGAGAGAGCAGGAAAATTGTAACTCTGTACATGACCAAGAAAATGCCACCCTTTATGGCGCTCATCCTGTTCATCTTTATGTTTGTTGTCTTTTTTAGACTCTCTTTAAGGAAAGGGATGCCTTATGTATGGATAGCATCATCATGGTGTGTTTACATAAAACAGCCTCTCCCTCTCTTTGTCTCTCTCTAGTGGAAGGCTCATGATGGGGTTGTTCTGAAGGTGGACTGGAATTCAGTCAATGACCTCATACTATCAGGTGGAGAAGACTGTAAATATAAGGTGAGTAGAGTTTTAGTATACTTTTGTAGATCTTGAGGTGTTTGACTTGTGTTTTACCATTAAAACCCTGTGCTCCTGCAACAGGTATGGGACAGCTTTGGCCGCCTGCTGTACTCCTCGTCATCTCATGACTACCCAGTCACCTCTTTGTCCTGGGTTCCAGATGGAGAAGTGTTTGCTGTGGGCTCCTTCAACACCCTGCGCCTATGTGACAAGACTGGAGTAAGAAAATCCTTTTTTACTGTACATCAAAAACTTATTTTTGAATTGTTGTTTCCCACCGGATATCTCCCAGTGGAATGTGAAGTTGTTTTTTTTTTTTTATCTCTATGATGGGATACCTGCAAGTAGTGGCAGTAGAGAGCCGAAGTGCAACCATGAACTTCTGGTTTGTGTTCCAGAAGAAAGAAAACCCCATTCAAAATCCCACTGAGACATCTAATCTGGCTAATAACAAAAAATCAGTCCGGGTTTAAATGAACACCATTTCCCAGAAGCCTGAGCTCATTGAGACTGAAACGTCACCAGCTGCTGCCAGTTGACTGGCAGGAGAGTGGAAATGAGGTCGAGAGATGGCTGTAATTATTACACATTCTTCCATTATTTAACAGCATGAGAGAAGTTAGACTAATATCAGAAACACACAGTTAACGATGTGCTACTTGGACCACCGAAGTACAAAGAGTCTAGTAAATAACAGTGACATATAATATGTGTACCATCATGTTGCAGAGTGATCATGGGAACTGTAGTTTTTCCAATGCTAAAAAAAAAAAAAGATCATTAGTTAACCTTGTTAAAACCATAAAGGCTGCAACTTGCAGTAGTAAATGTTTTAGTGTTTGGTGTTTTATAATATGAAAAAACATCCCTAGGCGCAGGTACTTAGTTTTCTTAAATGACCGATGAAAAGGCTAAATGAGAGATTGCACAGAGTCACTGAAGCTAGTGGAACAGAGGCTGACCAGATGTGATGACATGACTTGAGCTCTCTATAGAAACTCAAAACTGGAGGCATGGGAGTTATTGCTAAACACAAGTGTTACAAAAAGAAATAAAGAGCAGATAGTAGGAGAAACCAAAATATTCTGCATTAGCTTAACTGGGCAATAAAACAATTTAAATTTTAAATATCTGGCACCTCCCAAACTTGATGAATTCTTTAGACTCTGTTGATACATGGATAATATAACTTTGCAAACAAGTGTTTGGCCACATCAGCTGATAATCAGCTAATCCAAACACCAATATTGTTTGGCATGTTCAGCCAGGCAGTTCATTCACCACCAGTACAAATATACTCTCACATGCTCTTGCTTCAACAGTTCAATTAGTCTTGGACACACATGACAGCTAGGACTGTTATAACAGTAATGGCAATCATTGTGCTGTAGTGTGACAAGGTAATGGATGTTGTTATTCTATCAAAGGCTGCACCATGTAATTTCAGTGATAGGTGTCTCCTCTTTTATTAAAGTTCTGCTTGCCAGTCGATAAAATTATGCAAATGCAGGTTTACTTCCTGTTTGAGGTCATTTTTAACATTCTGCACCAAGTTGCATTTAACATCATATAACCTAAAACACAAAAATGTTAACTTTCTGTATTCAACATGCTAGATGACTCAGAGCTGCAAGAAACATAATGATGCATGCACCTTGACCCTAAAATTCCATATCTTAGTCTGTTTTTGAGCCCTTAGTGAGGTGAACCATTTCCAACTAAATACACTTGAGCAGTGTATTTCTGACAGTGTATTACTCTTCCTGATCTCTGTTACAAGCAGCTGTTGCAGAACTATGCAAATGTAGATCTCAGAGTCCATGTACCTTCCACATGTTGTAAGCTTCTGTTTTGTCTATTTTATTAGTTTATTGTCATCTGCTAATATAACATTGTTTTGTGGTTAGTCAGGTCTTTTCCTTGAAATGTACAGTATCTGTGGTACATTGTCAGCTTTTCCAGTGTAGTATGGTTTCTGTGGTGTAGCTCACTATAGGCTTTATCCCTTTTATACATTGTTTGTCTCTGTATACCACATTAGGCTGCAAACTATGTGTTCTTGTTACCTGGTGCTGACGGTAACGGGAGTTGTGATGAGAGGGGAAATAAGAGAATGATGAATGTAATTGTTTTATTATTGCTGAACGTTTGGCCAGGAACAATGTTACTAGTTCCCCTCTCTTAGGGCTTCTTTGAGTTTATGTGGAGATGTCAGTATGTTGCTGTATCAGACCTGTTGTAATGAAAACAAACAGGCAGGGCTGGGTTTTGTGTGCTGATCACCAGGCATTTCATGCTCCATTTTGATTTAATTAGGATCAAATGGCTTTTTTTCTTTTTTCTCTTTTTTTTCTGGAGCATTAAAACAAATGGGCTGGAGAAAGGTCTGAGCCAACACATGTGTCTTCTCCAGATGGGTAAGGTGTGTGATTGTATGTGCTTCAGAGAGTATGAATGTATAGAGTATGAACATTCCCGGAGAGATTGTGGAAACCCCTTATCCTTTACCTTTTCTTTTGCTTTTCTGAACCAGGGATTTCAGTAGCTTTAGAGAAAATTGCCAGATTATGGTGGTGAGCTGATGAAATCCTTCAAATGAAACCAGCTTGTATCCATTTTCTCTGTGCAAACAAAAATAATAATTATAGTGCTGTTAAAACTATAACAGAGAAAACTGAGTTCAACTTGCACCTTTATGTTTTTGTAATGACCTGGTTCACCTTACGTTTTTCTATTAGGTTTTTTTTTGTTTTTTTTACATGCTTGGTTTGTTCCATTGTTTTGTCATCACACCACTTGCTTTACTGTGGTGTGTCTTGGTCAAAGCAGAGTGGGGATGATCATTATGATGATTATGGTTCTGCCCTACTCTTCTCTAACTAGAGGAAGGGTATGCTTGCCTTCTCCTCTCTAAGCCCCTTAGAGACAGTGTGTACTGTAGCATGGCGTGGGAGGCTTGCTCAAGAAGAGGAGGGGGAAAAAGAGAAACAGAGAAAACGAGAATTTAGAAAAAGAAAATCCCCCTTAAAGGTCACTCCATCTGAGTTGCTTTCAATGTGTGAATTCAGATATATGCTCCTCTCGTGCACCAAGTTAGTTGAAGTACAATTTACAATACTATGCACACTTAATCACTGTACTGTAATTATTTTAATCTCATTGTACATGTGAGTGTACACAAACACAGAAGCCATTAACCAATTACGAGGGCTTTACCTGTGTCGTTGGTGTGGTTTGTTTGCAGTGCATTAAGGGTTAAGCAGTGCTACGAGCCTTTTCAGTTACTAGCGTGACTAATGGGAAGGAGTTTCATTCTGTATCTGCTACAATGAAACCTTGCACTTTAACATATTGCTGCTGGCTCAGCAGGATCAGTCCTGTGCATTTAACCCCTTCACCTCCCGTCCAGCTCGGCTCTCCTTTCACCCTAAACTCTGTCCTTTTTCTCCTGCATGTTTTCTCCCTCGACACACCGCAGGGCAGATGTAGTGTTTTACCCCCCTCATTATCACTGTGGAGGGAGGGGGCATGCCCGCACACACACACACACACACACACACACACACACACACACACAAAGTTTACATCAATGGAAAGGTACTGGGAAAATTAGTCTTGTAGTTTCAGCAACTCACCCTTGGACTAAACACAAAGTTTGCTCAGTTTTGTTTGTCCATGAAGCATCAACATTTAGTAATTACATTATTGAATTATTAATACATATTTAATTATCTTTGTTGCAGTTTTGTTGAGTATAGAGTTCTTGTGTACTTTTCCTCTCTGCTGGAGCTTTAACAGGACACAGGACACAAAGAGGTTCACTGTCCCTTTTACAAGATTTGGTAGAGACAGTAAGTTAGTGTCTGTCTGTGTGTCTGCCATAGTATATGCATGTGCCCACATGCCTCTGTGTGTGTGAGTGTGTATGCAACCACTGCCGTGCAAATGTGCCTGCGAGACAGCAGTCTATTTACGAGGCACTGCAGCTGGTGTCTAGCGTCTGGACCCTGTCATGATCCCTGACACTGTCACTGGCTAACAAGTAGAATTCATTGTGCCAGGCAAGCACCCTCTCGCGTCCCCCCACCCCCACGCCTACCCCACCCCTCTCTTCCCTGCACTTGTTTTTTTTCTCTCCCCACTGTACAGCCAAATGTAAGAGGTGCTTGGTTTTGCTTTTCTAATTCTTGCACAGCATTCTTTTTTATTAATCTATTTTTTACAAACTTTATTGAGTTGGGTAAGAAGTCGTGTTATTTATGTAACTTAATTTTTACAGATTTTCAGTGTTTTAGAAACCTTACTGATAAATGAAGAGAAACTTTTCTTAAAGGGTAAACAGACTGAAGGATATTGTCCCAAGAGCTGAGAGTAGCTTGGTGTTTTGTTCAGGGGCACCTAAGGGCAGAATCTTGTCATTAGAAGGGCCTAAATACAACTTCAAGGCCAGTTTTCTTATTTAGTTTACTACACTTCCATCAAGCTTGGTGTGATGCTCGTTCGGGATTTAAGAAACATTATTAAAACAATGCAGGCCACTCCAGCACCTTGGGGGAAGATGCCACGATGTGTTGTGGTGGCATAGGTTGGTTTAGTTTTTTTACCAGATGGCGTTTCATTTGTCAGACTGGCTTATTTCAAATGAATGAGCAACCTGCATGCATATCTCCTCTTTTCTCCACTTCTCTCCACCCCTCTTCATTCCACTCCCCCATTTGTAGGTTATACTTAACCACAGGCAGTCTAGTTAGGATCATCAGATGGTTTTAATGTCAGCCTCAGGCTGAGCCCTGTTTCTTACTGACATCCTTATGTGTAATAATTAAAATGTCTCCTTAGGGCTGTACATGCTTGCAGTTTTCCCATCCACAATATGGTAATAACTGTTACCATCACAAAGTTTTGAGGGATGTCTAGTCATAAATCATGTATCAGAGTTATACCTCATAATAGCAGTGTTGTTTTCAAGAGTAGGATTTGTAAAAGTGTAAAACCACTGGTATCTACTTGTGGATACTGCTTGTTATTTCATACAGTGACCAGTAGCCCTAAATCGTTACTATCAATGATTTATTGTTTCTCACTATGATTTTTCTGCCAACACCACTGTCTTTGTTGCAAACTGCTCCTTCCCTTCTCTGTCCATCTACCCTAAGTACATTGTGCCAGTATATTAGTCTAAGAGCTATTCTGTTTGAACTTAAGTGGGAGATTGAGCT